AAATGCTTCTGTCGTCATAATAACTGAGGGGATGTGACTTGAATTTTGTGCACCAAACAGGATTGTCAGATGTCCCGCAGTGTGAAGGATGGTCCTGAACAATGACTGGACTTTGAATTCCTCTGGCTATTCGTGTAGGCAAAAACAAACAAAAAAACTACTTATAGCTATCTGTGCATAAAACTCACCTTAATTTACATACGAATACAGAATCTGTTTTCATGATATTGATATGCAATATAGAATACATTTCTTGTATATACTGAGAGGAGATTGTAAATTCTTTACTTTGGAAGTTTACAAAGACCTGTTTACTATATTGTAAAATCACATGACCCCAAATCTCTGATAATGACGTTTTAATGTCTAATTACAAAACACGGAAGTGCGTAGCTATCACACACGCCGCGATTGTACACATACACACACGTAACTAATGCACTGTCTCTCAGGGTATTTGTTACTAGGTAATTACATCTTGAAACATCTATTATCTTATTGCAAGTTTCTTTCATTTCTCCATTCTGTTACATGGAAGAATGCTATCTGCTTTTTGAAAATTTGTGTGCAGGTAGGTTATGCAATTAACCAATTTATTTCCAGATGGTATAGAGCAAGCATTCAACTATTTGTTACAAAACAGGGACATTCGGATCCGACACGGTTGAGAACCACTCACATTATAAATAGACTTAGGATGGAGTCTGTAACAGACTGCTAATTGTGTATCAAAAATTTGAGCTGCCTTTATTTTTTTTTTTTAATGTTTATTTATTTTTGCGAGAGAGAGTGTGTGTGAGCAGGGGAGGCAGGGAGAGAGGGGGACAGAAGATCTGAAGCAGGCTCCACGCTGACAGTAACGAGCCCGATGTGGGGCTCAGAGATCATGACCTGAGCCGAAGTTGGATACTCAAATGAACTGAGCCACCCAGGCGTCCCTGAGCGACCGTTCTATAGCATACGGTTGTTTCTGGGAAGTTGACGCCCAGCCTGGAACTACATTTGCAAACTTCTTGCCACCACCCGAGACCATGTGACTAGCTGTCAGCACTGGAATATTCTAAGGCAGGTAAGCTTTCTCCATCTTCCCTTCCCTGGTTAGAAGCAGGGGACTCCACAGACGTGAGGGATGGATCAGCCACGAGCTAAAAAGAACTAAGTCTCAGAAGTAAGGAAATGAGTCTCCGGCCACCAGAAACACCCATTTTGACTGTTCAGGAGGGAGAATTAACCGCGATGTCACTGAAATTTGGGGGTTTTTGTTAGAATAGCCAGCAAAACTAAATGAATACACAGGCTGCCAATTTCATGTAAGCAAGTCATTTTCAAGACTAGGTATTTTTTTTCGATCTGTAAAAAGAGGCTAAATATAATAATAGTCACATAGGGTTGTTGTGAGGTTTATTTGGGATCACACTCAGAAAACGACTTGCACTTTATAAGCCCTGATTCAGTCTCGCTGTCCACTGCTGTTCTTTTTCTGACTTATCTATTTATCCACCTGCCGTCCAACTTGTAACATCCACGAATAAACTCCTTGACCTCAATACATAACTATGGCACATCGTGATCAGGGCTCTGAAATGGTTCTACTCCAGAGACCACCACGTTATATCCTCTTTCTCCTCTTTCTTTGTCTTAAATACGCCATTTCAAAAACACACAACCTTTGCTTTCTCTCCGGAGCAAGTTTACAAACCAGAAACTCTGTTGGATATTTTGCTTAATTCATTCATCAGAAAAAAAAAATTACTGTTTATTTCTGCATGAAAACTGTAATTACGGCTAACACGTTTCACATTTTCCCAAACTGGAGAATTTGCAAATTCATCAAGTGTGGATGTGGGAGAAGTTCAATGTTCAAATCCTGTTTGAACCCCTTGCATAAGTTCCCGAAGGGCCCTCCGGGCTTTGCATTTTTGCATTTGATAAAAACATAAGCATTTGTTTAAAAATCGTGGAGAAGCTATGTATATAGAAATGTAGCAACTAACGTCAGTGGATGTGTCAGCCATTCACTGTTCATTCAGGGCCACGGCCCACAGACCCAAAGTACATGGGACAAACCTTTTCCCCAAATGCCATGCTTCCCGTAGGCAAGAGTTGCAAGTCTTTTCAAATAGCGTGCTTTGTTTCCAAATAATACCTTTTCAGTACTTCCCAGATTACCCAGTTTTGAAGACGCAGAGAAGTTGCCAAAATTTGAGGAGTCTGCATATCTGGTCAAACAGTTTTATGTTCTTGTAGCTTATCACAAAGAGTATTTCTCTGCACGCCATGGAAACGACAACTGAATTTATTCATATGAATTACATGGGAGCAAATAGTTCCAGTGCATGTTAAGAATTTTTCTAAAGCACTGACTCGATCATTTCTTCCCCATGTTAATGATCTACAATGGTACATTGTTGCCTAAAGAAATGTTTTCAAAATATGATGGGTCAAGAATGTCTTTGAACAACTCACCACAGTGTTGTCTCTTCCCCCCCAGACTGCCTCTATGGAGACAAATATGTGGCATTTTAGATGCCTCATGGACATCAGACATCAGCACGTGGACCCAAGTTTCAGACCATCTGACTTTTAGGATAAAGGATCATCTGCTCAGACTGTTAAACAATCTACCCCTTGACTTTGCCTCCAGGCCCTTCTCCCTCGGCTCTGCCCTACACCCCCTTCACATCCACAGTCCCATAGTCAGGCTCCTTAACAGATCCAGCACGTTCATGCTTCTGTGCCTTTGCACCTCCTATTCTCCTTGACCTTGAGAAACCACCCTTTCTGCACCATCCATCTGATTCATCGGTTGTCCTTCAAAATGTTAGTGCAGATGCCATCTCCTCTAGGAAATCTGGTTTTCTTTCTACCTTCTCTGTGCCCCGATCGTATAGTCCGTGCACCTCTACGATAGCGTCCATCACCCTGCATTAATTCCACCTCTTCCTGCGAAGAGACTGGGTTCCGCTGATAATGGCATCTCTAATCTCTACCACGAGGCCTGATATAAACAGAGGTGGTCAATAAATGTTTGTATACTGAGTGAAGGAATGAATAAATGAATGCCCTTCTTTCTATTTTAAAGACAGAGAAAACTAAGCGTAAATCTTGACAACTGAAACAAATCGCTATGGCCAGTAGTTAGAGCAAGGTGTTAGGGTGCTTCACCCACAGGCAGCAAGTGCCAAGCAAATTCGATTAGTTTATTTCAGATCGGTCAGAGGCTGGGTCAAGAGATGGGAACACGAGCAAAGTGCCTATGCTAGATCAAGGCATAGTGGCCAGTAAAATTGTCTGGTGGAAAACGAATAACAACTTTAATGGCTTTCGACAGAATTTTATGAGATGAAAACATACTACAGGCAGACTTGTTGAAAACAAACATGCGAACCAACAGAAAACACAGACACACACACATACAAACCTAATAAGCAGAAAGGCTGAGCTAGAGCCCCAGGAAAGGACTGTGTCGTTTGTCCTCATTGGGATGTACAAGCTGGAGAATAGCACGTATGTTTCAGATTGACCTCTCCCACTGATGAGAGAGCGAGAACATGCAGGTAGAGCAGGTTCCCCAGCTCTACACCCCTCCCCTCTGTCACACCTCCAGCCCCTCTGGTCTGGTGCACCCATCCAGCTCTCTGGCGCGTGACTCCCACTTCAAAGGCTGATGAAGAGGGTTGGTGAGTGCTAGCCAAGAAGTCAGAGGGCCTGAACTCCTGTGCGCTCTGCAACTTCCTTGCCGTGGGACACTGGGTAGGTTACTCACACGTGTAACCCTGTATTTCTTCATCTTTCAAGCTGGGCCATCCGTGCCTCCCTTCATTGAAGTGCAAGAGGGAGAAAACGGAAGTTCTTGTGCACACCAGGTGGCACTGTGAACATTTCTTACATGGTATGCAGTTGTTTGCATCCACGTACGTGTCTTCTACGGAAATGCGAACTCGTTGATGGCAGGAGCAATTCTTACTTATGTTTACTTTCTGAGAGCCTGGAATACGATAGACAATTAGTTCTCGCTCGCTCGCTCTCTTGACAGACAGTAAATCTCAGTTTGCAAGCATAATTTGTTCCAGAAACATGCTTGTCATCCAAAGCATCTGTACATCAAAGCGAATCTTAAGAACCATTGGCTAAGTTGTGATCATGTGACATTCCACGTCACCTACGACTCGTACTGCAAGACAGCACTGATTTATCAAGTGAAGATTTATTGGAAATGTTTGCTCGCCTTGCGGAACACTCCCAGAACAAGTTCCTCGCAATCCAAAGTTGTTACTGGTAGGTGCACTTTTACGCTAAAACGAATTCTTTACTGTGATAGTTCCTGGAGGGTAAACTGTGAAAAAAAAATAAAGAACAAACCACGGTCTATCGGTGCCTAAGAAGATTGGCATCTGTCTATGCAGATAAGGCGTAGGCTACACGGAAGGCACTAGCATCAATGAGTTCTCCTGATACGGAGCGGGAGATATTTATTATGGTAATTGAACAAAGTGAAATTCTAGCCCCTGTTCATGCACAGTTTTTCACACACCTTTTTAAGCAAATGGAGGGGCGCCTGGGTGGCTCAGTCGGTTGCGCGCCCGACTTCGGTTCAGGTCATGATCTCACAGTTCGTGGGTTCGAGCCCCGTGTCGGGCTCTGTGCCTGGAGCCTGCTTCAGATTCTGTGTCTCCTTCTCTCTCTGCCCCTCCCCCGCTCATGCTTGGTCTCACTCTGTTTCTCAAAAATAAATAAAGGTAAAAAAAAAATTAAAAAAAAAAGCAAATGGAGAATATCTTCCAATGACAAAAACTTCCTACATTTATCAAACGTGTTATTGTTTCGCTTCATCAGGCAAACTATATGAATTTGACTTTAATCCACTGGATGGAAGTTCTTTGAATTCCAAACACAAATACAGAAGCCCAGTTATTAGTTTAGCTGAAACATCTGTTTCCAACTTCCTGAAAGGAAAAGGAGAGGTTGCCAATGTATATACATATTTGAAACAGGGCTCGTACTGCACACATGGATACAATATGCATGTGTAAAAATTTTCCAAGCGGTCTAATGTCCCACTTGGTGAGGAGAATAAGATGATGGAAGCATGTGATATAGGAAAATGAGTATGTAGAACAACATTCCCACTAACAATTCTAGTTTCTAGGAGAGAACGCCAAGGTCACCGCTTAATGGACAGCACCAACCAGATTCTGGCCATTGGATCTGATGTTTACCTGTGGGTAATGTACCTCCGTGAAGGATGCTATCTCTCAGAGAAGGAGAGGGTCTAGTTGGAGTGTGTGTGTGTGTGTGTGCGCGGGCGCGTGCGCGTGTGTGGTGGGGGCAGGGGGAGGTGGTGAGTTTGGATATAACACTTCACAATTCTGAATTCTGGCCCATCTTCTGTCACTAATTTTCTCTCTGACTTTGGGAAAGACACTTCATTATTCCATCCTTTAGGGTCTCAATTAATGCATCTGTAAAACGAGTCTGCAAAAGTGCCAGGCAGGGGGTCAAGGCTTCTGGACTCCAGACCTCTTGAAATCATTACATTCTTTAAGCCAATCAACAAGCAGTCACCAGGAGTGAGATTGCAACTCCAATTTCCTAAACAATGTCCCAGCTGTCTTGTCAGGTTTATCACCTGGCACTTAATAAATCCCAACCTTTTCCCCACTCTAGGCATGAGGGGTGTGGGTTAGCTCAGAGGTTGATGAAAGCAATCACACCCTCTTCTAAAGGCTCCTGCTCGACACTGATGCCCCAAACCTGCATGAGCCGAATAGAGAGGCAGGTGAGCTGAGAATCAAAATCTGCCAGGTGCAACGCTACCTGAGAGAGATGTTTTGGATGGAGATTTATTGATGCGATGACAAGGGAGAGCAATTTTCTGGAGAAGATGAAGCAAAGCAAAATACAAAGTTAGAGCATCCTAAGAATTTTTGGTGGAACCTAAATCTGGTCCTATTAATGCGCTGAGTGACAGGACAGACCGAAAAGGATCTTAATCCTGTATCCTGCCGTGCTTCTCAGGTGCGATATCGTAAAAAGCGCTGCTAATGGATGAGTTAATTAATACGGAGACATGTTACCTAACAGCTCTGAGCTTTCATTTTTTTTTGTCTATGATAAAGAGAGAGTAACAGTTACCTTACTCTTAGGTGTTAAATCAAGTAAATGAAAGCTCCAGCACAGTACCTCTGTTGCACAGCAGATTAGGAATCGTTAGCTTCACTGTGCTACAAAATCACCATTGCAAAACAATTCCTTTTAACGAGATGTCATCTACGATCCGTCTGCTTTTCCAGACCTCGGCTGCCTTTTCTTTCTGTGCCTCCTAGTGGCATCAGACACTCAGGTGTGCCTGGTATCTGCTGGTCAGATTTTAAAATTCAAAATGATATCCTTAAACGTGGAATCCTGAGATCTATTTCTTTGTGTTTATCTGGCTCTGAGGTTACTCACTTACAGGCATCAGATTTTCTCAGGGTTTGCTGCTACTGTCCAGGAACGAAGACCCTTCAGATGAAGAAATCGAGACGGAGAGAGTGACAAGAAGAGTCATGGGGGAAAGGTACAGATCCACCTACAACATGGCTGATCTGGGGTAAGCAGAGGCGACGCCTGTCAGCCAGCTCAGAGGGAGGTGGGAGTCAGTGAGATGCCTTAGGTGGGTTCAGAGGCTGGTGAAGCTGGGGGTGATCAAGCTTCACGAATCGTTTCAGAGCACTGGGGAGCCACAGAACACCGGGAAACAAAATCCTCTAGGATTTTCACTGTCTCTTTCCAGAAAGTTTTGCCAAGCATTCGAAGCAACTTATGGCTTGTGATCCAAAGAGGGGCTCGTGGTATTAGGAATTCCCTATACATTTTGATAGACATTTGAAGGAAATAGGGCACAAACATATTCTGTGCAGCTCCCAGTACAGAAAAAAAAGAATGAATGGGTGGAGGTTTGGGGGAGAATAATCTCGGATGAATCTAACACAGTTTCAGAGACAGCACATTGTCTGACAATGGGGTGGGTTGTTTTAAAAGATATTAAGCTCAGTGTAATTACTCATTAATTTAGCCAGGAAGCCAACAAATTCAAATATTACACTAAAGTTGAAATAGATGCTCTAATTGGTTCTTGGCAACTTAAGAGTTCTAATGTTCTTGGCTCTTTCTAAAAATGAATAGACAGTACCAAAGAGAGTTGTTAGGAGCCTTTGTTGGTTCCCACATTCTTTTTGGGTGATACGTATTTTCAGGGTTTCAGCTAACACCAGATCTCTTGCATGTGGGTTGCCCCTGGCTAGCTGATCCTTACTGGGCTTCTCCACAAGGGTGTCCCACACGCACTTCAAACAACATATCAAAGTAAACATGTGACTGATGCTAAGAAATGGCTCCCATCATCCCCATGATGCCCTTCTAACAGGGCTGGAAAACCCTCAGACTGAATTTCCCAACATTCCTACAATTGCAGTCACAGATGTGAGACAAGTTCAAATGTTGGAATCGATGATGCGTGGAATTTCCCGAGAGGCAGGCTAATGAATGTCTTTTTCTCATGTAGGAAGTTGACCTGTGATGCCTCAGTTTGGGAGCAGCTCCTTGAGCCCTTCTAGGAATTGTGCAAGAGCCTTTATGAAGTCTTTTTTTTTTTTTAAGTTTAACTCGATAGCATGGATTCTATATATTCCATCCAAACCCTGACTAATGTACTATTAAGATCATATTTCACACTGCATCTGAACCTGCTTCTTTCCATGTATTCCTTGCCTTGCTAAATGGCACCACCAACCATATACACCCACCCATCCAACTGGGATATTGACTTTCAAGACTCAAATCTCACTCCATTTCCCCACGAAGACCTTTCCTTACTGCTCTCCATTGTGGATGTGACCACTCCTTTCTTTGGGCCAACTGGCCAGACTCGCACCATAGTTTTACAATCATCTCATTTGCTCCCATTTCACTACAAGGGAGTAAGGACTGACCACTGATGGTTGACTGACTAAACCAAATTTTAAGAGCAAAATGATGTTATTGCTTGCCTAACAGAAGGCCATGGATGTGGCGTGTGGGGAAATAGGTTCTACTTACATAAATGGTTAGAAAGAAGCTTAGGGTGGAAAGCTGTCACCACAGGGTGAAAACACCTGAGGTTAGCTAGCGAGATATTGTAATGGGATCACAAGTAACTTGTTATACCACCTGCAGGAAATTACTTTCCATCTGATGCCGATATACTAATATACATTGATTATAAACTCCACTTGCCTCCCAGACCCATTGCTGCTTACACATACAAGGTAATGATTACTGTCAGATTGTTTTCTCCATGTTCACATGTGCAAAATCTTGTTTTCTTCACGTTCCCCACGTTTGCAAGATCTTGAGAGCTCAATAAATACGTAGACGAAACCCCTGCTGAGGGCTCTTGTCTCCTCCTGGACCTTAGCCTCTCTTGTATTCAATTCTGTGTCCACCCTCTTGCTGGACAAGAGAGAATGCCAGATTCATAGTCTGCAACAGACGGTGACCCTGACGTGAAGCCAAAGTGACGAGAAGGCGACGTGGCTAAGAAGGTGATGTAGCTAAGAAGACGACATGACTATAAGCTAACATGACTAAGAAGCCCATGTAACTCAAGGACTGCACAATGCTGTGGAATGACTAGACCTCTAAAAAAGAAAAAAGTGCACATGACTACAATCTCTCCTGACAAGGTAAGAGAAAAGTGAAGCTATATTAGGATGCGCTGCCATGGAACTTTTGAAAGAATCATATGGGAGACTCCCTATCCCCGAAACAGAAACAATACATTCGTATGGCACCCTTAAATTACTAATGATCATTCAGTAATGCTGTCCTTGGTTTCCCTAGCAAGGAACCTTCAACCTAGACATTTGGGAACGAATAGGTGAAACACCAATGGCACACCATACGGAAGGCCCTAATGTTCTGTGGTCTATTGTCCCTATGGCCATTATCCCCCTGAGTGTGGATGATGTTTATGAAGATATAGACTCACCCAAAGTAAATTAAAGAAAATTTCCAAGGAACCTAAGCCTCTTTATTTTCAGCCAGCCCTTTGGCACCCCTATATCCAGAGAACACTGGCTCCCCGTTTTGTCATTGGAAAAAATATAACCTTTTAAAGGAACAAAAGATGCCCTGTGACAACATCTTTACCCAGACGCTACAACCTATTAAGAATGCCCTTGCAGTGTTTACAGATGCCTCGGGGAAAACTCACAAGGCTTCAGGCCTTTGGAAAACTGGAAGAAACTGGGAACATATATTATACACCGGACCCAGTTCTAATCAGAACTGTGAGCCATATTGTTAGCTATAGAAACCTTTTCCCAACCCTTAAACATGGTCTCTGAGATGTCATGGAGTAAAGACCACTCACTTCAGATTTCCCCACCAGTGTTCCAGGTAAAAATTAACCATGGGGAACAAATTGTCTTAGGTGGACCCAAACATAAGTTTGTTGGTTTGAAATAGACCTGTTTACCAAAGGTGAAATATTCTCATGTTATGACTTGATGTAATGGTTAACTTTGTCTCATAGTGATCATGGATAATTGTTGAGATAGCTTTCAAAGGTTTTAGTAACCAAAAAAGTTTTGCTTGCATGATAAATCGGGATTGAATTCATTGGACATCTAGGCCTTTTCTAAATAGGATGGGATACTAAAGCATTGATTACTAAACAAGGCTTATCTGCTTTTGGCTTCTTATTGCAGAGAAACTATGGATATTTGGGTCTGATGGTAAATATGCTTTGTGCTTTGTAGCTTTCTGAGGTTTTTTTTTTAAAACACATTTCCCAAGACTTAAATTATAAATGAAGTCTTTTTGACCAATTAGGCTTCTTTGGTATGTTAAGTTACTCTGGAAGCACTGTCAAACAAATAATAACACTTCGGTTACATTTGAGTAAATGTTATAACTATTCTAGAGATTATATGCAAATCCTAGTTTTCATAATTTTTGGTATAAGGTTATCACTTGATATTATGATTATTGAAGCATTATGTGCTACAGAAACAACTAAATTTCCTTGTCAATTGCACCAGATCTTTTAATCATGAGTCTTTTTGTCATAGTTTTGTGACTCTTGCTGGACCCCTATAATTTCCAGTACACAGATGACCCTTTCTACACAAAGAGGCTCCATTTTCCCTGAACTCTGTCTTTCCCTTTCATAACTCCCCTATACTTACCCCAACTGATCAATGTTGACCCGTAGGTGGGTACATTTCTATGCCCCCTATTTAGCAGTAAGTAGTTACAGAAGAGAAGACCATCTACCCTCAGTAACCTTAAAGATTTTAAGGGTCAAAATTGTCCAGGGGGGAAGGATGTGGGAAACAAAGGCAGAAGGAAATGGCAGATAAAATTAAATTTCCTTATAATCCACAAGGCCAAGCAATTGTAGGATGAGCACGTAATAAACTTAAAATTATGTTTAAAAAATGGGGGAGGGGCGCCTGGGTGGCGCAGTCGGTTAAGCGTCCGACTTCAGCCAGGTCACGATCTCGCGGTCCGTGAGTTCGAGCCCCGCGTCGGGCTCTGGGCTGATGGCTCGGAGCCTGGAGCCTGTTTCCGATTCTGTGTCTCCCTCTCTCTCTGCCCCTCCCCCGTTCATGCTCTGTCTCTCTCTGTCCCAAAAATAAATAAACGTTGAAAAAAAAATAATAAAAAAAAAATAAAAAATGGGGGAGGATTACACATGGTTGTCTACATTACAATCTCCACTTCTCCTCGATCATGCTAGGATCACTATTAAGATTTTAAATCTTGACCCTCAAGGAATAACTGCAGCTGAGATACATTCTTCTAAATTAGATAAACCCTCTCATCCTATGGTGCTGGTTTAACCTTCTC